TATATATATATATATATATCCAGGCAATTATGTTTCTTTCAAAATAGATTATGTTCATCTGACATTGTATGTGATACTTTTTATAATTTTACAGGCACTTCATTCGTGGCATCGGTCCGGTCTAAAGCCATTGTAATGAGTCATTTTGAAGTTCGTGTATTCTTTTTAGCCCTAATGTAATTTGTGTGGCAAGAATTAAAATATTAATTGACATGGAAACGCTTAACTGCCTTTTTAGTACACTGGGAAATAAATTCCAAGGAGATTTAATTCAATTCAGTTTGCGGCCGGACAACCTCTCTGAATACTACGAAAACAATGACATGACACAATGGCAATGACAAAAACAATTATGAGAAAAATTATTTGATTTTCAAATTTTTCATTTGTACCGCAAGCCTTCATCCACTGCAACATGAATTGTGATTTCAGATAATGTACTTATATTTTATGCTCTTAGTCTCGTAATTTCTGAAGAACAGTTTTTCGTTAATATTTTAGTTAAGAAGTATATTTTGTTGATGTCTTCATCTCAAAATTATGCTATATGAGAGTTCTAGATAAGAAAACTTTCAAATTCATTCCAGCAATAACAGCAAGGCAACCTATTTACGGTTATTTCACTTTTTCTCACTTCGGTAGAAATTCATTTCTATGAAGAAAGTAGCTAAAAGAAAAAGTCCATTATAATGTTGAGTTATTTCTGAATAGGAAGAAATAAAAATCAAAGTGTCATACTGTTTTACACACAACTAACATGGTTCGTACTTGAAAACGTGAGACGAATATTCTAAATGTTGAACGCTATTTCTTTGATGTTAGCTTCTGTTAATTTTAAGGCTTTAATTATTTTGTTGTTCCATGTAAATTTACATTGATTTAATGAACTTGATGTGTCCATGACAAAATTCGCTATTCTTTTGAATTAAACTGATTGAAAAACACCTAGATTATTGAGTTAAATTTTGTGTTTGCGCATGATGAATAGAATGCCGCATAAACTGAAAGCTGTATGACAGAGACAGATAGCTCAAGCGTCATACTATGCAGAGACATGATCCTGAAGGTTTCCTTTTAATTGAAACCATAAAAAATGTTTATCCTAGACCCGTCGTCTAGCGATCAGGAAACCGGTAATTAGGTGTGAATTTTTTTTTCACTTTTGGACAATTTCCGAAAATATTTCTTAACCCAGAAATTTTTAATTAGATTTGTTTGTTTTAATTATAAAAAATCTTAAATATCAAAAAATTGATGTGCATGAACTAGAGTGTGAAAAAATAGTTTACCATTAAATTAGAAAAATAAAAAATGTAATGTCGATATCTATTTGCACAGATCATTTTAATGAATCTAGTGGTGCTACAAATGCCTCAGATTTTACCGTATTAGTTTTCAATTTCCTTTGGTCTCGGCAAGCTATTCAGACTTGCCACATACTCTCGCCAACTGCCATCTATCGATGCGTTAAGTACATTTTTTTTGAAAATTTCACAATTTTTGTGTTTTCTAGTAGTAGAACGGAAATATTATTTTAAGAAACAATATTCCAACATAGTGTTTATAGATAATAGCAAGGCATTCGATAATATTTTAAGGAACAAGCTCTGGACAGGAGAGGAATTCCCCAACACCTTATTGAAGTTATTAGGAAAATATATGATACAAAAATTGATATAAAGAAAAATAACAGACAGATCCCACACGAGATGATTAATAAAGCTGTTTGACAAGACTCTAGTTTGTCACCCTCTTATTTAATCTCTATTTAGGCACCGCTGTTAGAGAATGGAAACAGAGGCTTACATTTTTAAATATTACAGACAACTTTAAAGAATCCGATTTTGTCAAAACTTTAATATTTTCTGACGAACAGGTAGTTATTGCAGGCAATGAAAACAAATTGTAGAGAGCTCAGTGTGAATTACAACGGGTAACAGCAGAGTATAACTTAAAAACCTCAGTAGAGAAAAACAAGTCCATTACATTTGAAGGTAGCTTTCTTGTAAAATGTAAACTGGTAGTAAATGATACAATCATTGAACAACCTTTTTAAGTTTCTAGGTTATGACATTTCATACACAGGGGAAGTTGACATTGAAAGAAAAATATAACTTTTTAAACATATATGCGGTACGATTAAAAGAACTCTAAGAATGAAGGCAAGAAAATGCACTCTCATAAAATTTTATAAAACATTAGCTGTGCCAACTGTATCTATGGAAGTGAAACGTGGGTACTGAATAGCAAATCCTGCAGTAGAATGCAGATTTCTGAAATGATATTTTTGAGATCAATATTGAGCCTTACGAGAGAAAACAAAATAAGGAATGAAGATGTAAGAAATAAGTTAGGGATATTTAATTTAAATGAAAAAATAAAACAACACAGGAAAGCATAGGCAAAACACGAAGAATGGAATATTCCAGAACTCCAAAAGAAGAAACACATTACCACCACAAAGAAAATCGGTTTGTTGGACGACCGAAAACAAGGAGGAAATACCAGTGAGTGCGCAACGGATCTACAATCCAATGCTTGAAGAAGAAGAAGAAGAAGAAGAAGAAGAAGAAGAAGAAGAAAAAAAAAAGAAGAAGAAGAAGAAGAAGAAGTAGAAGTAGAAGAAGAAGATTAAAGAACAGTAAAACCTCGTCCTAAATCGCAATTTTTTGGAAAATTTGAAGTCGTTTTTATCAAAATGGCGTTTAAGCATTTCTATAAATTCAAAATTTGAAGCTCTTCCTCACTGAAAATTTATGTTTTTTGAAAAATTTTGTTAGAAGTAATTTGAAGCACACTCACAAATATGAGATGACACAAACGCCATTGATAATTGATCTATTATTTTGTTTCTTAAAAAATAACAAAAATTTATTTTTTTACTTGCCTCTCAAGTCGGTTATATTTACATTAGCAGCTATTTGTTCACAATATTATATTTATGAGTACAGATGCTTTAAATGGTTTCATGTAAAGTTTCTCGAAACAAGCAATAGTTTTCTGTGAAAATACGCTCAAAATACAGCATTATCAGAAATGCTCAAATGCCATTTTCACAAAAATGGCTCCAAACTTTTATTGAAATTGTTTCAACAGATAGTGCTGCTTGCACTGTTTAATAGGCCACAAATATAATTTTGTTGTATCCATTTATTTTTTTAAATACTACACAAATGTATTTT